TTCTATGGGTAAATTTTATTTTTACCATCCTTGCAGCCAAGGAACCCTGGTGGCTCAGTGGCCTAAGTGTTGGGTTTCTAACTGCAAAGTCACTGGTTCAAGCCCATCAGAAAGATGGAACTGTCTGCTCCTGCAAAGGTTCATCATCTCAGAAATCTCATTAAAGTCACTGAGTCAGAATTGACTGAATTGTAATGGGTCAGCCTGCAGCAAACTCTGCTCAAGATAATTTAATCTTGTAGCCCTGTCTGGGGCATTAGCTGAAAACTGGCATCCATGGTCTTCATCGAACATATGTATTTTCTTTGGATTGCATGATGTGGATCTAAATAAAGTAGATTTAGTTTTGTTTTCTCCTTGGAATTTTTAGCCAACATGGAAAATTTGGGAAATTCCACAAGAAGTTGGGTTTCTGAATTCCTTTGAAAATATGACTACCCCAGATAATGCTGGGCCTTGCTATCTCTGAGCAGCCATTGGCTGGAGCCAGCAGAGCACTGCCATTGGCTGGAGCCAGCAGAGCACTGCCCCTTCAGTCCAGAGGCCAGCTCTCTCCAGGGCTACCCAGGACCCACAGCTTCAGATTCAGCCTACTTTGCCTCACTACATGTCTTGCCTCACTCCTGCTGCAACTGGGCTTTTCATCATGGGTCCAGGTTTTCAAGAGTGTCCTTCTAAGCTTCAGTATAAATGGAGTCCTGGTGGGGTACCATAGGATAAGCACTTGACCAAAAATTTGGTTTGAACTGTAAGGTTGGTGGTTCAAACTCCCCAGCCGCTCCTGGGAAACCCTATATATGGTCAGTATGATTTGGCATATATACTTGTCTGCAAATAGCTCTCTTATTTCGACTATTATGCGTAGAGACACTGCTTTAAAATCATCTAACATCAGGAAGAAAGAAATCCCCTACAATACACTACCTCCATGTCTTCACTTTACACCTCTCCTCCCCAGCTGAGTTTTGTATTCATGAGTTTTCTTTGACCTGCTATATTTAAAATAAGTACAATTTTAATAAAAGTTACATGTTGTTGTTAAGTACCGTGGACTCAGTTCCAACTCACAGCGACCCTGTACAGGGTTTCTGAAGCTGTAAATCTTTACTGGAGCAGAACTCCTCATCTTTCTCCCATGGAACCACTGGTAGTTTCGAACTGCTGACCTTGCGGTTGGCAGTCCAACTCATAACCACTATGTTGGCCTAAATTGAATTTGAAAGTTAATTGCTCCGCTTCAGTTTATCTTATGATTTTATTTGCCTAACTTATTTCCTGTCGTCATTTGTATACTATTGCAACGTTTTCCAGAGTTAGAAATTTTATTCCACTCAGTTAAGATGGACCAATCCAAAGTATGGGTAGTTAGATCATGTTGAATACAATCATCATTTAGCTGTTTATTAAATTAACCATTTCCTCATTTTCTTTGTATATCATTTCTAATGTGATCAAATTAATGCTAAACTTAGAGCTTCATGTACCATTACATTTCTTTACACTTGTTTCCACAGAGTGAAGATATCCATGACATATACTTACAGAGCATGAAATATACATAAGTAGGTCCAAATGGAATCCATGGAAACACAAAAATTTCACTTTCTTTTTTTTTTAATTCACCTTTTTATAACTACTGCTTTCATCCATGAAACTCAAGAAGATAAGTCACAACATAAGTCTTAGTGCTCAAACAAAAAGCAAACTAATGAAAAAACTTGAAGCTTTTTAAAAATTAAATATAGACAAAGAACCAAATATTTAATTACAGTCCAACAGTCATGTGGTTTATTTCTTCTGTAAATTAAGATGTCAATTTTGTGTAGCCTCATATTTTTTGAAGAATATTTACTTTGGAAATAAGAGGTGTCAATATTAGGTGTATCCATGGTATAGAGGACATTTGCTTAATTGCTGACTGCTGAAGAAGAGATACCAGGGAGCTTCAAGGAGTTCATGGGAAAACTCCATTATCTTGAAATTCCATTTTTCCCATGAACTTTTTCAAACATCCTCATATATAAAAAGGATCATATAAAAGTTAGGCATGCCAGCTTAATTTTCATACATTTAATACATATGCAAGGATTTATTTTCTTAATATACAGAACACATTCTTCATTTAGTATGATGCCATGCCTTTTGCTAGCAACCATTCTATCAGAATCAGCCAAGTAGATGTGTGCACTGATTTTTCAGGAAGCCCCCTTTGGTGGACCATTTACTACCATTTACCAAATGCAGTTTTCTGTATAACAGCATCTTCCAAGGAGTTCACTGTCTCACTTTTGGACATTACTATGTTGTTGTTTTTTCTCTCTCTCTTCTTAGAGTATTTGTGTAGAATCTCTGAAATAGAACTGTTTTTTACCCAAAGCTTTGATTTTCTAAGATCTGAACTTGCAAAGACCTCATTAATACAGATATTTGCCACATAATTTGAAAGCTAAAGGTAGAAAACAAAAAATCACTTGTTGAGGTCAGAATTGCTCTTCAATTCTTGATATTTTAAAAGAAACTCTAAGTTTGAGGCTACACTTTAGGAGATGTTATTGCTAGAGTAAAGTTTGTTATGTTCTCATTATAATGCTATTTGTGTTAATCAAGGAAACACAACACACACAAGAAAATCAATTTCCTGATGGAAAGCCTACACATTTTTTATTCACTGTACATGTGTGTATTTCAATTAATTTGAGCATGGGCAATGTTTTTAATTCCTTGCCCTTTATATAATTTCTTTCTTTCAAAGAACACATCTGTCTCAATGTTATGAGGAAATTATTAAGCTTTGAGTCATTAAAACTTTATCTTTTCCCTCACATTTTTCTAAACATTGTATCTTCTCTGAGATACAAAATCCTATTTTGTCCACCAGTATTGAATCAATCAATCAAATAAGTTTTACAAGACAATCTATTTGTTTTTTCTATCCATCAGAAGAAAAAGATATTTTACATTTTTTGAATGTATTCAGACGTATGTAAAAACACGTGGTATGTGAAAATATAAGCATTTATATAATCAGACCTCATATGCATATGTAAAATACATATGCAAATTAATAGCAAAAATTTGCTGACTTTGTGTAGAACCAAAGCAACAGAATAGATACCCTGGTTATAATGCATAACGCATGTAAACAATGTGAAAATTGTTCTTCTGATAAAAAACCATATGATCTGTCAAAAATGTGTCTTGTAATTTCACTTTGATTGTGTTTGAAACTGTAACCCCAGCCCCATAAACGGTCACACACTCATTTTCTCATTCTCAGCACCATCCAACTGCAGCTGTTCTGCTCAAAATGGGAAATGTTGAAGTTAAACCAAGAAAGCTTGTTGAAGTGACTACAAAGACAATGATTGCTTTTTTCTCAGAAAGCAGATTACTTTGCAATGAGTTTTTGTTCATTATCTCCCTTTCCAAAATGGGGAACATGGCCACAGACTATGTTAATGTAGTAACATCATGAGTCAAGTATTACCCCACCCATCAACTTCCAGGTTGTCATGGTGTTATCTGTCCAGGCTACAAAGAGACTGCCCATTGTCACTAATATTAGGACTCATACAAACTGCCAGTGGCTGAGATACTTTTCTGAGCTATGGGCCAAATGCTTTCAGACGCTTACAAGGCAATATTTGCAAAGTGGATATAGTCAGTTTAATTGCTGACTGGAGCTACAATAAGAGTCATCTAATTGGATTGGGAGTCTACGATTTATTTATTATTTAACAATTGTCAAACTTATTGTCTCTAGGATTTTTACATTGCTTCTTTGTCTTAACTTTACCAATGCCTCAACTCCATGGGCTCCTGTAGAGTCAAAGATACAATATTTCCCTCAAGTTGGTTTTCACTCATTTTCTAAAATCAAAGTCCTTCACCGGGTCTCCTTCTTTGCTGAGTTGGCAAGCATATGTTGCACTTTCCTCAGAAAAACAAAATCAGTTTGGCATCTGTGGCTCACAGTTTCTCATATTAATTTTTGTCATTAACACTTGACATTATAGAAATTCAATTGGAGCTTTATCTAAAATGTAAAGAATTTGGAGATTAGTTAATGTACAGTATTGCTCTATATTCATTATTCCATATGATTTAGTTATAAATATTTGCATGTTAAAATGACAAAAATAACATGAACAACCTTTTCAGTCTGATTCCCTTCTACTTTAGCTATATTTAGAGAATAAAAAAATCCAGTTTTATGGTTGCACAATAACTTTAGTGTTTCCTAATGAGAATAAACAATGTTAGTTCAGGTAACAGTGTTTCCAGATATGAAATAGCTACATTTCTTATATTTAAGATATTAGTGGTAGTTGGAAAAATTAAAATGAAGACATTTCTACAAAATAAGTATGTGTCTCAAGTAGAATAAGTCCATACAAAGTTCTTTAAAAATATTCGTTGTGAAGAAATTAGTAATGTATTCCTAATATTGTTTGGTATCAAACTACTAATTTTATAAAGAGGTTTATATCTAATTAGAAGGAGACGGTCACAGTTTTGGTATATATTAGGGAGTTTGTTGCTTTGTTTTATTATTATTATTTTTTTTTTTGTAGTCTACCTGTTTTTTGAGAAGGGCTATTGCTACTGATACAAACGTGCTAAGAGGCAGTTGTAAAATATTTATGGTATGGAATAACAGATAAATAGCTGGCTGTACAACGTGAATGCAATTAATACATGAAATATTTTCAATGCTTTTAATAATTCATCTTGGCTTATTTTACTAAAGAATACCCAGTTTATCCCTGTCTATGGTAACATAATGAAGTAAGTGACAGGTTATAGACTAACTAGAGGCTCATCAAAGTCCTGCATGTCTTCGCTCTAGCTTTATTTCTGCTCCATCTCATAAGACATTCAAACTTCAGCATTAAGTATCCCTAGCTAAAATTCATTCCATTTTGTAACTAGATTACTTGGTCTACTTAGTGCTGGGTTCAGTGAGCTTGCTTAGAGAATCAGAAAAATAATATACATACCAAAATTTAAGTCCCCAGTGAGAGCTAAGTGCAGTGATCAGAAGGTGACTTGTGTCTGCCAGAGCCCTGTCTTGAGGTTGATCCCAGGGCAGCTCTGCAGGAGTAATCCAGCACCATTAGAAATAGACTCGTAGTTCAGCTCAATGTTTCTTCAATTAAAGTGCATTGTATCTGAATGGGGAAAGTAGCCACTCCCAGGATCTTCATCGCTAGAGATCAGAGCATTATCGATGTCCCTCCTATCAGAAAACAAATGACCTTTAAAGTTTGCTAGGAGATACAGTGGCAGAAGACAGGTGCTTGCTTCCTTAACCAGATATTCAGAGGAAAGAGGGCATAGTTAATGGGTGGGGATGAACAGACAGCCTCTCTCCTTCCAGGTCCAGTAGAAAAGAAATAGAATTATTTTACCTACTTTGTTACACAGATGATACAAGACTCGAAGCAATCACACAGGCTGACTAAGGTGCCTCATTTGATTATATTCCGTGAAGACAAAAATAAATGAAAATCAAAAATCAGCAACATCCTTTCTAAATGTCTCCTTCCAGCCAAAAAGATGTTCTTTCTCATTGCCACTTACATACAGAAGGTTTGGAGCAGCCTAGCTTGTAGCATTGTCCCTCCCCCGTGACAATCAGCCCTCTCTCTCATATTCTCTCTCTCTCTCTTTCTCCTCCGTCTCTCACTCCCTCCCTGCCCCTGACTCCCTCCCTTCCTGCTTCTCTCTCTCCTCTCCAGCTGCCTCAGTCTGTTGATGCTGCTGCTGATTAATCAGGGATTCTGAAACAAAGAACCTACCTTCTGAAATAAGCAGTAATCTTTCTTCTCTGCTTCTGCAATCTGTCTGCAGTGAACAGAAAAGCTACCAGCATTCTAGCACCTTGGACAGTTCCTGCTCACCAGGCCCATTGGAGATGGGAGAAGAAGCAACAGAAGAAATCATAAGGAACCCGAAAGCAACATCCTTCTACATCGGATTTTCGGCACCCCTGGGGTTCCCATCCTCATTAAGGACCTCCTATCTAGGCAGCAGATCCTCATTCTTTTATCTAACTGTTCTGAAGTCTGATTAGTAAATAAGAAAATGAAAAGAGGGTAAAGGAACCTCTTCATTTATATCCACATCATCACTAATTCAGTCGTTATGGGGGGGGGGGGGGAGACACATGTGAATCTACCAAAAAGCAACGTTTTCACTACAGAGAGTGTCTAAGTTGTAAGCCCCTTGCTTCTGGTATGACTAATGAAAATGACCAACTTGAATGAAGCAACCTCTCCTCAGTTTGAAACCCTTATTTGATATCACTGTTGCCTCCACCCTCCCTGTACAGCCTAGCCATGCTCACAATTACTGCTGACATATTTCAGACTGCTGTTTGGGGAAAGAGGGGTGGAGCTTTTTAACCTCATCCAAACAGCTTCAAGCCACCTGCTCCCACAGCATGAGAACACAAGTAGCCCGCTTACAAAGAATATGTACAGTGCACACGTATGTGGGAAAAGGTCTTGTTCAAGGTGCAGTTTCTTTTTTAACTAAAATCAGATGCAAAATAATGATGGCATGTGTGACGTTAACTCCTGTAGAACTTATTTGAAGTCACTTATGCCCTACATTTCTTAAGGACCCTTTCATTCTCGCCTTAATATCCTCTGGAATCATGTTATATATAGCACAACTAAAATGTGTGTGAGCCTGTTCCTATGTATTGTGTTGTTGTTTAATCTAAGTTGTTTTTTCTAGGAGTAAAAAGTAAAATGCGGATGTTTATTATGTAAACTTGGGGGTAATTGTGTACTATTGTGAATTTTTTGCTTAATCTTGTATAAAATGTCAATTTCTACAGGGGGAAATGAGCTTATTATTTAATAATGAAGTGTAGATATTTCTTTCTGCCATAATCTTTTCCAATAACTTTTGTTGTAAATGACCTTCACTTGCAAGTTGATTTTCCCAAGAGTTATCCTGAACATCTAAATTCTTAACTAATTTCCTGGAAAAATGAATTCTGAATATAAAGTGATTTTTCAAGCATCAGCAGACCATACAAAAATAATAAATTAAAATACACCTTCCTAATTCTTAAATGGAGTCCTGGTGTGGTGTTGTAGGTTAATGCCCCAGACTACAAAGTCAGTTTGAACTTCAAGACCAGTAGTTCAAACTCACCAGCTTCTCCTCAGAAACCCTATACAGGGTCTCTATGGGCTGGAAATGACTCAATAGCACTCACTTAACAACAACAACAATTCTTAAATGCTACTTATAATGTGTTTTTGGTTTTGTAAATTTTCTTTAGGGTAACTTGTGAGCAAGAAATCAGTACATTATAATTGTATAGGGCTTTCCATTTTCAGATGCCCTAAAGTGCACTCTGAAACCTGGTGTGGGATAAACACTTTAGGATAAACACTGGACTGGTAACTAAGAGGTCAACAGATCAAACCCACCAGTTGCTCTCAGAAACTCTGTTCAGAATCACTTTGAGTTGGAACTGCCTCAATGGTAAACAACAATAACATTCCTTAAGCTAATCTTGGTCTCCATGTGTACAACTCTTTGTTGGAATGTCAAGTCTGTTTAATGACACAAAGCACTCTGGAAGATTGGCTAGATAAAGAGAAGGAGATATGCCTGAGAAGCAGAAGAGGTTATGTATTTCTCTTCCTCTTCCTCTTTCTCTCTTCCTCTTCCCCACTTCTCTTAAAAAGACATCACACTGTAGAAAAATGTCTCTTCTACCACTTATAAGCCAGTAGCAACCACCACACTATGATCAAGAAGTTGAGTAAGGTATCATTTCTTTGAGGATGAAGTGTTCTCATAAAAGTTGTCTTTTATCTAGTGACCAAAGGTGAAAAATAATCTTGATAAGGCAATTATAAGACAGACATGATTTCCAGAAGTGAAAATATTTTATGACTAATAACTCTATCAGGTTTGAGTGGCTACAGTTTTGAACAACAGAGACCTAGAATAAATTATAATGTAAAGCCTATATTTAACACCTAAGAAGAAATATGAGTCAGAGATGTAAAATGACTTGCCTTGACCTTCAAATTCATTGGCTCATTGAGATTAGGATCCATGCTCTTTGTGTTGAATATTTGTCTCATGAGCTTTGCCAAGACTGTAGCTCCAATGCATCCTTTTTTTTAAAATCAAGTTTTTATTGTGAATTGAGTGATAGTTTATATAGGAGAACATCGGTTTATACTCATCATTTCATAGCAATGATTTCCATCACCTCTGTTCATCATCATTCAAACATATTTGCTTCTATTCCTTCTGCTTTATTTGGGCGGGAGGCAGGGGGGATGTACACTAAAACACTCAGGAATATATAACCATTTAAACAACCAAAGGGCACATTCTGCAAGCCTGCCTCCTGGGGGATGCACACTAAAACACAGGACTATATAATCATTTAAACAACCAAAGGGAACATTCTGTAAGCCTGCCTCCTGGCCACCAGCACAGAGTCTTTCTCTGTCTATGAGTCTAGAGTCCTCAGCTGCTTTATCTGTCCACGTCCTCATCTCTGCCTCCATCTCTCCATGTCATTGCTTCTCTAGATAGGGTTCCACATTCTGCTCATGCTCTTCTCCCTTAATGGTTCTACGGTCCTCTGTTCCTGGAATGTAAGATTAACTACTTCCCCTTTATTTTACAAAACTTCTACCTGACAATTGCAATTAGTCATGATAACAACTACTCACTATTGAATTATAAGAATTGTATTCCCATCTCCTTTCTAGACAAGATGAAAACTATTCAGTGGGGATTCTACCTTACCCTGCACACTCTGAAACTAAACACCTTCTTGAAAACTTGTAAGCCAGTAACTTCATGGCTTTATAGCCCCCCCCCCATCCCATTTTAGGTAGCCAATGCCTAAGTTGCCTGTCCCTATCAACCTTATTTGCTGAAAGTGAAGAGGACATGAAACATTTACTTATGACGATCAAAGAGCACAGCCTTCGATATGGATTACATTTCAATGTCAAGAAAACAAAAATCCTCACCACTGGACCAATAAACAACATTCTTATCAATGGAGAAAAGATTGAAGTTGTCAAGGACTTCATTCTTCTTGGATCAACTATCAACACTCGCGGAAGCAGCAGTCACAAGATCAGACGACGTATTGCACTGGGCAAATCTGCTGCACAGGAACTTTTTAAAGTATTGAAGAGCAGAGATGTCAGCTTGAGGACTAAGGTGCGCCTGACCCAGGCCATGGTGTTTTCCATAGCCTCATATGGATGCGAAAGCTGGACAGTGAATAAGGAAGATCGTAGAAGAATTGATGCCTTTGAGTTGTGGTTTTGGAGAATACTGAAAGTGCCCTGGACTGCCAAAAGAACCAATAGATCTGTTTTGGAAGATGTGCAGCCAGAGTGCTCCTTGGAGGCCAAGATGGCTAGGTTTCATCTCTCATACTTTGGACATATTGTCCGGAGGGAACAGTCACTGGAGAAGGATGTCATGCTGGGTAAGGTGGAGGGTCAGAAAAAAAGAGGAAGACCCCTAACAAGATGGATTGGCCAGGTGGCATCATTGATGGACTCAAGTGTGGCAGCGGTAGTGAGGTTGGCCCAGGATCGGACATTGTTTCATTCTGCTGTGCATGGGGTTGCTATGAGTTGGTTCTGACTCGATGGCATCTGACAACAACAACAACAATATCAACCCTGTATACAGAGGGGATAGGATGATGAATCCTTCCCTCTCAGTTGGTATTTTGTGCTACTATATCTATAAGTATAAGGAGCTCTGGTGGCATAGTGGTTATGAATTGGGCTGCAAACCTTAAGATCAGCAGTTCAAAACTCCCAGCCGTTCCGTAGGAGAAAGATGAGGCTTTCTGCTCCCATAAAGATTTACAGCCTTGGAAACTTGTACAGAGTTGCTATGGGTCGGAACTGACTTGACGGCACTTAACAACAACAATACCCATAAGTATAGGTCAAGTTCATGAAATTGTAGCTAGTTCCACTGCATCTTAATTTCATGCACCATAATTTTTAAGTATTGGGTTAAAGTATCAAATTAAAATTACAATGACAGGAGAAGAACTTGACTTATATAAAAACAAAAAAAAAGTGTCATTTATTTCCATACAATACTGAAAATATAAGGAATTTCTTTCACAAA